TTTTCTTATAAATTATCCAGTTCCAGGTATTTTGTTACAAGCAACAGAAACGGACTAATGCAGTGTGTTAAAGTCTGAGTGTTTCTATTTATGTTCTATTTATGTTTCATTGCATCTCTTTACTTTATAAAAGTGTTTTCTTGGCTATTTGCTGCAAAAGAAAACCCCTTATAACTATTATATTTTCATTACAAATCATGGCTTTGGGGGATCTGAACCTGTGACCTTAGTGTTATAATGCCGTGCTCTGACCAACTGAACTAACTGGCCAGCCCAACTGTGGCTTTTAAAATAGTTAAGTGTGATCACATTTAATGCTTATTGCCCTAAACTCTGCTTTGTCTAATATCAAGTTGTGCAGAAGAGAGTTGACATAGCAGGCCTGAAATTTCTATCCTTAGAAAGGCCTGCTTGCAATGTTGCCTTTGTCCAGCATTGGGGAAGTTGAATTTTAGAAGGGTTCTCACTATTCCCTAACTGGGAAGAGTGGCTCACCGTGCCTGAATTGTGAAAACAATGTGGTTTATGCTGAACACTTGCTTTCCTTCTGGGAGTCTAGAATTTTGGTAAATGCCAGGCAGAGAGTGCTTTTGTAGCCAGCCCCCAGTAAAAAACTTAGGTACTGAGACTCTAATGTGCTTTACTGCTAGATGATATTTCACCTGTGTTGCCACAACTCATTGCAGAAGGAATTAAGTATGTCCTGTGTGACTCCACCAGGAAAGGACTGTTGGAAGCTTGTGCCTGGTTTCTTCTGGACTTTACCCCATATGCCTTTTGCCTTTGCTGATTTTGCTTTATATCCTTTCACTGTAATAAATCATGTCCATGAGTACAACTATATGCTGAGTCCTGTGAGATCTTCTAGCAAACCATAGAACATGAGGGTGGTCTTGGGGATCCCTGACTCACGGGATCACAAGCCTTGCTATTTTATAATTCACATTTGCCTGTACACAATTGAGCATCCTTTCATTTTTAGCCTTTCAAAATCACTTTGAGATTTCTCTCTTGTATTCAGTACATTGTTTTGTTTTGCCTTGTGAGTCAAATTGAAAATATTTTTATTTTAATAGATGAATTTAACCCATTCACATTTCATTATATTACTGATATATTTGGTCTCAACCTAGTTACTTTATTTTTATGTTTTATGGTTATTTTCTGTGTTTCTCTGTGTGATCACATCCTTTAAAAAAATACCATTAGTCACCTGTTTTCCTTATTAACCTTTCTTGACTTGATTTGTTGGTTTTTACCTATATTCTTTAATTACCACCTATTACCTATACATCAATTAATAAACTTATTCTGCTTTATTCTTATTCTCTCCCTTCTTTTTCTGTTTTTGAAGTTTCATTATTTCTTCTTCATTAGAACATACATTTATATAGTAGTCTCCCATCCTTGTCTCTTCCATTGTTTTAGGCTTAAATAGATGTATAATTAAATATATTAAATACTCGCCATCAGTTTTTTCCCCCAAAGTCATCTCTTAGTTGGATAAAACATATCCTGTAGTAGATTCCTGAAAGCTATTTTGCTATTTGTTATGAGGCCAGGTAATGTGATAGTTAGTGGATGGAATGATGTGGAAATTTCTTGGGTCCTTGCATATTTAAAACTGTTTTTCTATAGCCTTAATACTTGAAGGACTAGCTTGGCTAGATAAAAATCCTTGATTCACACTTTCTTCCCATGAGTTTCTTTAAAATTTATTATTATTGCCTTGCTTTATTTGTTGTTTTTGAGAAGCCTGAGGTGGGACTAAATCTCTTACCTCTGCAAGCTATTTGATCATTTTTCTTTGAGACCAGAAGGAATTTTTCTTTGGCTTTAAAATCTAACAATTTTAAGAAGATATATCCCAGAGTTGGTTGTTCTGGCTAATTATCCAAGGTACTCTGTAGGCCCTTTCAATAATATTCTTTTCTTGTACTATAGTTATCAATGTTTATTCTATCCTCTATGTTTTTCCTTCTTTAGAGACTCCAATAATATGTATGTTATTTCTTCTTTGCTTGTTTCCGTTACAATTATTTTTTTCTCTGACCCTTGTTACTTATTTCTCCATCTTATTTTCATTCTCTTGGTTGTTTTCCTGTCATTTTTTAATACTCATTTTTCCTGTCATTCTTCTATACTCACGTTAAAATTTCGTCTTCATTTTGGAGATAATTTTATCTTTTTTTATTCCCATTTCTACTTTTAATTTCGAATTTCTGATTCAGTGTGGTTTTCCATATATTCAAATGTAATACTCATTTTTCCTGTCATTCTTCTATACTCACGTTAAAATTTCATTTGAGTTTTTTTCTCCTCTTGGCACCCATGCAATTTAGTCTTCATTTTGGAGATAATTTTATCTTTTTTTTTTTTCCCATTTCTACTTTTAATTTCGAATTTCTGATTCAGTGTGGTTTTCCATATATTCAAATGCTTCTTTGAGAATATTTATTTCAGCTTGTAGTGTTTCTTTTGCTTCATGGTTGTTTTGGGGGTGGAGGGAGAATTTCTATCAGCTGTCTTTTCTCACTTTCTGTTTTCTTCTTAAAGTAACTTTACATTTACTTAAACTATTTTGATTTCTTCAGCTCATGGATTTGGAGTGACTTACACGATTTACAGTTCAAGGGCATTCTGTTCTGTCACTATAGCAATATGCAGTCTATTTTATTTTATAGTGGTGCAGAAATAATGTACACTAATTTTTTGGTTCTTGTTGTCTTGCAGACTTTACATTTTCACTAGTAGTTTCATTTCCTTTATACCACCCAATGCTTAAATAATGTCTGTTCTTTCTTTTTAACCTTATTTTCTCCCCCAGAAGTAATGCCACCTACAATAGCTTGCATTTTTAAGCCCCTTTCCCGTAGTCAGTGCTCTGATCTACCAGGACTTTTTAAAAACCATTTTTTTGCGTGGACTTTCTGGCTGTAATTTTAAATTAACCTCAAGCCTGCTGCTGCCTCCTTGTTTCTCTCTTATGTACATTATCAAAGGACTGACCTCACTGTCTACACAGGCTTCTGGTAGGAGCATGAAAAAGAAAGTTAGTTGGTATTGTGTTTATTTTTCTACTCAAAGGTAATTTGAAATTTGGGTGTTATCTGTCTTCTAGTTACCTGCAAAGGGACAGATTTTGTGTAGTTTTGTTTCTTTTTATTGTAGGTCCTTATTATTTTTGAGAGATATGTGGGGTGATTCATATCTAGATAGCTGCCATCATCTTTGACTTCTCCAAATTGAAAGTATAATTTTTGATTACAAATGTGATAATCATCATTTTAAAGGAAAATAATTGATTAAGGGAGAGGAAGTTGATAAAGTAGAAAACTATTTTGCTATTTGTTATGAGGCCAGGTAATGTGATAGTGGATGAAACAACGTTGTGGAATACCCTTCTTAATACAAGTATTAATGCAAAACAACCAAAGATCTAGGATGAAATTTTGGAATTAGGACCTACACAGAGTCAAAATAATTTGCAATGTTAAAATTATGAAAGGAGAACAAAGTAATGTGGTAGGAGCTTATAGCTGTTGAATTAGTGACTTAAAGCAAAGCAGCTGAGAATAAGAACTCCACCATCAGCACACATAGAAACAGTAGTGGATGGAATACATCACATTCGTTTTAAAATCATACTGTGATAGTTATAACTGTATCTTTATGAAATGAACAGATTTAAACACTATGCTAATTTTAAGTTACATAGGGCTGTATGTATAACGAATATCTATGACTAACAAATAGGTATGTTTTAAGTTTAAAATTATAGCAGCACTTAGGTGCCAAGGAAAAAAGGTGATTGCAGCAAGTCAAGGGCCACACTCCTGTTTTCCATGCAGGAGATTACGTTCCTCAGGGATCTAAGGGAGAAAAACGCCAAGGAGTACTGCTGTTATTTCCCTCCTCACATCAGTCTCCTCTATGAATGTGCTTTTGTTTTAAAAAATTGGGGCATCTAAGCTCAAAATTTTAGTATGTGGAATCAAAGTCTTTTCTTTTTTTTTTTTCCTTTTTGAGACCGGCCACAACACGCTCAGCCAGTGACCGCACCGGTCATCCCTATATAGGATCCAAACCTGCCGCGGGCGGGAGCGCTGCTGCGCTCCCAGCGCTGCACTCTCCCGAGTGTGCCACGGGCTCAGCCCGAAATCAAAGTCTTTAAGCATACTTTAGTTAGTGCCTGCATTTGAGGGGCTATGGATGGATACCATTACATTTCTTTTCTAAAGGGCCTAAAATAATTGCATTATGTTTTAATAAAACACAAAAAAGTTAATAAAAAATGACTTCAATAAACATGATCGTGTTGGCTGATAAGTCATCCGTTCTGCTTGTGTCTCTCAGCATTCTCAATAGCCATTATTGCTTTCCTAGACGCACGTGCACACGGATTGCTAATGATGTGTAACTATTTGCCAGATACGTTAACACTTTTTAAAAGTTATCTCATGCTTAAATGGATAATTTTCAAAGAACAAACATTATTTCCAAATTTATCACTTAGACATTAGGCACATTCCAATTTTCACAAAAAGAACATTTAAAGATAAGAAAGGAAGGAAAATATTACTCAATTTCTTAGAAATTGAGAATGTTATAAAATAGTTCTAGTAAAAGTAAATATACCTTTATTTGAAAGATAATTGTGTGAAAATTCTTATCATCGTCAAATACTGCTGATAAGCTTGGCCCAGATCCACAGGTTTTTCCCTCAAGTTTGTTGTTAATGTAAGGGCTGGTGAAAGCATCAAAATACGAATCAGGCACGAGATTAGGAACCGATAACACAGTGTTCTGAAAATGATTAATCGAACCTGAAATGCCATCCTGTTAGAAAAGCATAAACATAAAAGTAAACACACATGTGATTATGCTTAGAAACATTTCTGAATATTTTCTGAAATGCTAAAATAAATAAGAATAACCCATTCAACCAGGCCATGTGTTCTGTTGGTTCTGGGTATATGACAAATCAGAAGACACAACCCTGACTCAGGACACGTATTTTCTAATTGACAGAGAGTCAGATAAACAAAGAAAATTGCAACACATTGTGATGAGTTCTATATTTGAAGTGTGAAAAAAAACACTAGAGGGCCATAAGGGTAGAAAAGCCAAAGTAAGCCCAAGGAAAATTTTAAAGGGAGAGTAAAAAGTTTATATTCTTTGGCACAGCAATTTCTATTCTAAACTAAGAGAAAAAATTAGACAAGCAAACAAAAATTTATGTGCAAGAACACACTGCAGCATTACTTATAATAACTTACTAGAGAAACACTTAAGTGTTCAAAAATAGCAGTTTTATAAGTTATGGTACATTTATACAATGGAAATTATGTATCCCTTCAAATGGAGTCTCCAAAAATCACTTAATGACATGGGAAAAAAGCTTATGATATAATGCTATGTTAAAAAAAAGAGAGAGAACAGGATATAAAACTGGTATATAATATTATCCCAAATTAAACATGTATATATATCTATGTCTATCTATGTATAAAATCTCAAGATAAATTAGGTATGTCAGTATATCATTATATACTAAAACAAGTCTGGAAGGAAACATAAAATGTTAACAGAAGTTATTTCTATTTCTAGCACATAGGATTATGGATAATTTTAATGATCTTTTTCTGTGTTTTTCAAATTCTCTTCAATTTGAATATGAATTAGTTTATAATTTATAATAAATACAAAATCTGATTAGAAAAAATGAGATAAAGAAAGGGTGCTTCTTGAAATGAGTCTTAAAAGATGAGTAGGAACTTGCCAAGTGTATAAGACGGGAGTACAGTCCTTGCTAAGTCATTGTACGGGGAGCTAGTGGGGGCCAGCAGGTCTGGGTACTGAGTCTTTTAGGTGCTGGAGCACAAGTGCCAGTGTGGAGAGATGGGACATGATGCAGTTTGCCCATATGAAGGGCCTGTGCAAGGTGCTGGCTTCCAGTGTCAACCTGTAGGCCTGTGACCTTGGACTATCCAGTTGATGAAAGGTCCCTATGTCAGGTAAGTTTGGGAAAAAATCTTGGGTTAAACAAAGTTAAACAGTGTCCTTCTTAGGACCTGCTAAACAGGATTTTTTATATCTGTTAATATACAAATGTTTAGTGCAACCCCTTTTCTCCTAGAATGCCTATCAACATCTGCCAAAGCATTCTTTGAAAAATGCTATTACAGGCAATGGGGAAATTTTAAGCAAGAAAGTGACATGACTCGGAACAGACTATTACAGCAGGCCAGACAAGAGAAGGTGATGTTCTGATCTACTGAGAAGAATGGCAGTGGGGGGGGTGGGGGTGCAACTCAGGCTTAATGCACAGGACCTGTGACTTAATCTGGAGGAGGTAGGGGAGGATCAAGAATAACTCACAGATTGCTGCCTTGGGCATCTGGATAGCACCTTTCATTGAGATGGAGACAGGGAGGGAAGAGCAAGTTTTGGAAGAAGTTGACAAGTTCAATTCATTTTGGTGAATTGGAGTTAATTGTGGGACATTCAGGTGAAGATTTCCAGATGGCCTTGAGTCTGGCTCTTAGAAGAAAGGTATTGAATCTAAATATATGCTTGTGGGGCTGGCCAGTTATCTAACCTGGTTAGACCGTGGCCTTGTAACACCAAGGTCAAGCGTTTGGATCCCATATTGGTTGGCCTCCAAACACACACACACACACACACACACACACACACACACACACACACGCATGATTATGTTTGCACTCTAGAAGTGGTAGTTAGAACTATGGGCAAAGAGCACCCAGGAAGAATATACAGGGTGTGAAGAGGAGGTCAGACAAAAAGAGGCTCTCAGAAAGGGAAGGAAAAAAATGTTGGTATAGGAGTAGAACCAAGAGAAATGAAACCATAGAAGGAGTCTGTTTTAAGAGATGGAAACAGTAAACAGGTCAAATACAACAGGAGGTCTGTCAAACGCAACAGGAAAGATGAGAATTGAAAAGTATATGTTCAATCAAGTATTAGTGCTCTGCAGTAACCTAAGCAAGAACACTGTCTAAGATGTCATGACTTAGGTATATAATCTTCCTTTAGAATAAGCTCTATATGGGGCCGGCCCGGTGGCGCACTGCTACAGTGTGCCGCTTGGGAGCGCGGTGGCGCTCCCACCGAGGGTTCGGATCCCACATACAGACCGGTTCCCGCTCACTGGCTGAGCGAGGTG